TTGTAATAATGGGGTGCTCTGTCATTTGAGAATCTGTTTGCTCCTTTCTGGCCACCTTTAGTGCAACCATCATTGGATCCGGAAGACTACGCTGGTGAACAGCTGGACGTGACGGTGCTGGTTCCATATTTAAAACACTGCCATAAACGATAGATGACGGCCCTGTATCCTCAAGAATATGAATCGACGAGTGGGAGGTCCCCACCGAAGGAGCGTACCGCAAGGTACCCTGACGCAAACTATGTATGAAAATCGTTATACGGAGTACGGCCGGCAATACTACAAGAGGAACAAGACCCCCGTCATGGCGTCCGATTCTTAGAGGAAATGCGAAACGAGATACATCTTCAGAGGAATCACAAGGGACCCCGCAAGCAGCAAGAAAGCTTAGAGGTTGGCTTTCAATTTCATCGGCGACTAAACAACGGAAAAGATTAATCGTGACATCGGAGGGAATAGTACCGGAGAGCTGATGTACAACGGAATATAGAAGTGCATTAGGACCACTACCAAATAACTTCACTTGTGCTCCAGATGGAAGGTTTGGTACATGGAATGTCTCCAAGCTGTTAACATCCTGTGTTGTTCCACTTGGGCGTATGCAGAGAATGCTGTCATAATGGGTCTTAACTGGCCCGGATCCACGATAAAACAAATTATATTGAGGAAGATCGGCGTTTTCGGAATTAGTGGGAGTGAATTCGATTTTAGAATCATCCTGATGTACGGATATTTGTTTGCAAGAGTTTGTATGCGTCTTAAACGGGAACGAGCATGTGTTTTTGGAGTTTGGAGGCGATTTTCTCTGGTACATCGCTTAGAATTGCACAAGGCAATAGTTTGACACCAAAAACGAACCCTTTTGCAAAACGCCCTGCCCAAGAATGAGAGGATTGACGATAATTTGTCAGGTTTCATTCTACAGTTGCTTTTGTTATCTTCAAAGTTGTTTATATCAGAATCGTAGTATTGGCACACAGACAAATAGACATAACACATTGAATATTTCTTACTGTAAAACATCGTTGCTAAAACATTACCACCATCTGTTGAGTACACTGTGGTGGGTAGTACGATGAATAGATGGCGGTAGTGTGTAAACGTCAAACGTAAGCGAATTGACTATGCGCACAAACGAAGTGACAGACGACTTACTGGCGAAGAAATCCATTTAAATAATGTGGTTCACTGTAATAGAATTTTCTTGGAAGCTTGTGCCATCATCCACCAGATGGGTTAGTTTTTTTTTTGTTTTGATTTGAACAAAGTTGATTTTGTGTACAATGATTCTTTGACAGTGTGCAAAGAGTGCGTATCATTTTGTCATTTTTTTATGCATTTCAGTTTTGAGTAGAGTGAAAGAGATAGAACCAAAATACTCTAGTACATTTGGTGGAAATGCTAGTTCAATTCAATAGTAGTGTTGCCATGTGGTACACTCAAAAAATTTCACACGTTTGATCGAAGTGTTTAAACACTTGATTTTTTAAATGCAGAATTACATTTACTTTAAGTGTATTTCACCTTGGTTCAATGTGTTATACACGTTAATTTATAGTGTTTCAAACTTTGAAATGTTGAAATTTTTACACTATCTATTCAAGTGTATTGCACATTGAATCACGCTACCACAGACAAACAGACGTAACACTTCATTGTGTATCTTCGTTCACGCATTTAACGGTTGAATTGAATATTATAAGTTCCGCGAACTACTCGCCGCAGCGCTGGCATCGGATCACTTTGACGTTTCTATACATTCTATAGAACTTTTATGCAATATTGTTTGCGAGTTGACGAGCAAGCTTGTTTTCCGCGAGAAGCCCGAGAGATGTCGATACTGAGGTCCTATGTTTTGAGATACTATGTTTTCAAGAAAAACTTTTTCAAAGAGTTACGTCTGTTTGTCTGTGACGCTACTGTTTAAAACAGATGGATTTATAGTGTTTTGCATTTCAATACGATGTGAATTGCTTGCTCAGAAAAGTAAACATCGAAAACAAGAGTTGTTACTTTCTCCTATCAACCCGCCTCATATATGAGAACAACCATGGCACAGTGAGATCGAACGAAGACTCTGGCAGCAGCACACCCCAACAGTTCATGATCGAATCCAAAATCAGACCCATTAAAAAGATATGTGAAAGCTCTGGCCTCTGGTAGTTTTGTTTATATATTTGTCGATTCATTTTTAGAGTCGGTAAAGTAGAAGTCGATAAAGTAGAATATTGTAGAATATTGAACTATGGTGTGCAAAGCTATTGATATCACCATATGAGGCACATAGAATCCAAGTGTGTCACAATTCAAATCCATAGTGTTCAGGCATGGTTCATAGCATAAGATTCACACATGAAATGGATGTGTTTCACAATAAGCGCAAAATTAAGTGTGAGACACATGATGATGGCGTGTGGAATTTTTTGAGTGTACAATCCAGTAGTAGTGGTGTTGCCATGTGGTACACTGAAAAATTGCAATAGAAGGTTAGTCACCAAAGTTTTCGAGCCGCTCCGTCTGTCACTACGTTTGTGCTATGCGTGTCACAGGTGACCAACTAAGATACTTTTAAATTGACTGTTGGATGATTGTCCGATTAACAACTTACGAGTGTTATGTATGCCTGTCTGTGATTGGCATATAATTGTAATTTTGAGGTTGATTTTGTAATTGTTTGATAGATAGTTTACCCGAATTGAAACACTGAGTTGTATAAACTCGACGAATCATATCTTGAATATAGTAGTAGTTACAGTGTTGCATGATCTAACAACCACTGTCTGCAACTAGTGTTGGAGGGGCCGCAGGGTTGATTACGGGTCAAGGCTAACATAACTCTAACACTAAAATGATCCCGAAACTAACGCTCATGCATTGCATTTTCAATCATAAAGTAGTTTTGTTTTCCTACTTATCTATCCATTGTTTTGATACTTTTCCAATAGACTACCTAAGTTTCATTTTCTCTGTTTTCATTAACTGTTGGTATTGTAATTACATTATAGCCTGAACAATGCGTAAAGAGCAAATTGAAACATTGAACGTCGCGTGAAAGTGGAACTTAATGAAGACCTATGTACTTTTTCGTAGCTTTTAGTTTTCGGATTTGAAAGATCGTCGGTTACAGTGCCCTGCTTACTGAGCAGAAAAACGCGGTCCCAAGTCCTTACATATCAAAGAGATTTATGGTAAAATCGCTTGTGTATCGTGTATTTTGCGAAACTCGTTGTTGTCGTTGGTTCCGGGTTACGGTAACGGTATTATGTGATATGAGGGGCTCGGTGGCCTTAGAGCAACCATTTTTGCTTACTGAGCAGAACATCATGAGTCTAATCTCAGGCCCATCCACATTCAAGATTCGTCAACCGTTTTATTTGTTAATACAATTACATGGTAATAATAGCAACTCGATGATTAAAAAGGAGCTCGTTCGCCTAGTGGCAAACGTTTTTGCTTACTGAGCAGAAGACCGTGGGTATAGTCCCAAGCACCTTCGCGTTATATGATCGTTAGGACATCAATTCAGCTCATCGTTTACCAAAACGAACCCTGCTGCAAACCCAACCCTCTTATCCAACATCCCAGTGATTCCTCGTGGAAGTGCAGAGGTGTTCTCGGCTTCCATCAAAGCGAGTGTCATGTCAACACAATCCTTCCCATTCCTTTCTTGACCTGTGTTCGGGCGCGGCCGGCGCTGGTATTGCCTAATTTAAGATCACCAGTTTTTACACATTGAGGATGATTGCTAGTCCCAAGCATCGTCTATTGGTTCTCTGTGTAATTACAGCTGATCTGGCAATAACAGAGTAGCAACCGTGGGCGGTCAATCAAGCTCAAGCTCAAGCTCAAGATAGATGAGGAGATGAAAGTATAGAATTGATAGTTCCGTTAGAGTACGGCAGTGTGAAAATTGCATAAAGAGAGTAGAAAGCGAGCAAGGACAACTTTAAGAAGATACAAATCGGTGTGATCATCTCTCTTTACCATCCCCCTTATTCTGCGCCGCGAGTGAGGTGAGGTGACTCGCTGTCACTAGTGAGGTTACAAAAGTCACCGCGAGTGAGGTGACAAAAGTCACCGCGAGTGAGGTGACTCTCCGTGCAAATCAAATGGAAAGTCACCTCACTCGCGGTGACTTTTGTCACCTCACTAGTGACAGCGTGTCACCTCACCTCACTCGCGGCGCAGAATAAAGGGGCATACACACTTAAATTTTTTCGCCGAGATTCCAACAGCCGACTAGTTCTGCAATTTATTTTGCTGAGATTCAGTAAAACAATTACCGAGACTCAGCTAACAAATATCTATTTGCAGAAATATCAGCTAACAAACAGATATTTTGCAGAGATATCAGCAAAATTAAATGCCGAGGGAATCGGCTGTTGGAGATTTTACCGAGCTAGATTAAGTGTGTACTCCCCCGTTGGATTTTGGTTTTTTTTTTAATTGCACCCCCAATATGTCACCGAAAGACGCAATCCTACGTCAAAAATAACAAAATATTGTTCCACGGCAAAGTTCGAGTGATAGGAAACGTCATTTTAAACTGCATAACATTCTGCTCCACGCTTATGAAAAACCCATAGGGCCCAATTATGCAAGTCGAGTCGAGCGTATTACAGAAGTAATACCAAATTAGACCAATGATCAGAAGTGACGCTCGACTCCACCTACATAATAGGCACATCATTGGAATAACTGCAAAGCCCCGCACAACAGAGCAATAGGGACAATTACGGCATCCAGTAACTGACTCCAAAAACCAGTTATGTTAAAACAACCGTATTATAGGCATTATATGTATTATCATCTCAAATAAAACAAAAAAAAACGACTATACTGGAATTTGCGATAGGGATAAAAATAAATAATCTACGGCAATTTAATAAATTATGCATGTCCAAACGGCCAAAACGTAGCTAGTTACATTCATTAATAGATATTTTAGCATTTGCGTATTCAAAAATTCCAGTGCGGCTCGCATATGTGTTATACAATAATTTAGTTTGTTGATTGCGTAAATCATTCTCACTAGTCTACCAATTCCCGGGTGCTCACAGTGCTCTCTCGACTAGTACTGGCCTGCGGTTCGGCTGCCGCAGCGCCATCAGCCACCATCCCGTAAATCTCCTGCGCCAACAGTCCGGCGGCACCGGCCAACGCTTGTCCGCTGTTGCTACCGCTAATGCCGTTGCCGCCACCGCCGCTGGCCAACGCCAACGATAGGATCCCTTCACGGCCATCACTTTTTAGAAATTTTGGATCCTGCGACGGGCACTCAAAGTGGACGCAGTGGAAAATCTGAAAGCATGTCGGGATTGGTTGATTTATAGAACTGAGAAGAAAGCGGATTCAGGTTTACCTCATTGGCCGTGTTGTGGGTGCCGACGATTTTGATGTAAACGACCACCCTGGGATCGAAGGTAAAGTGTTGCCAGGATTTCAGCAGATCGTTCCGTTTGTCGACTACCATGTCCCACTGCTTGAGATTGGTCGAACTTTCGATGTAGAAACTGTACGACCGATCGTCGCAATCCCAAAGCAGTAGCCGCAGGGAACCAATCCAGTAGGGTTGTCCCAGCTGCACCAGGATGACGCCACTACCGAGCTGATGGCAAGTGTAGCCCGAGTCCCAGTCGTAGTTCTTGACGTCGCCATTGAGCAGCACATTGCGGGTGCGACTGACGCCTTCGACCACGGTAGCGCTTCGATCTACCGTGGCTACGTTGTAACTGGGCGCCACGATGCCATTGACGACCGGAGCGGTCTTCTCGGTAAACATCGCCTCCAGTGCGACGACATGGAAAACCTTGTTCACGGTGTTGTGTGTTCCCACCAGGCGAATGTAGCGGACGGCCCGCGACGGGAAGTACAGATACTGCCACGAGCGGCAATAGTAATCCGTATGGTCCACCACCCGTTCCCAGTTGGTCTGGTTGACGGACACCTCGACGAAGTAGGAATACGATCGAGTATCGCGATCCCACAGCAGAACCTTGATGTGATTGATGATGAACAGCTTACCAAGCTCGACTATGATGCCCTGCGTGTCACCGGTGTCGCTAATCGAGTGCCGCGTGTAGCCCTTTTCCATGTCGTACGAAGTGGTATCGCCATCCAGCAGGGCCGACCGTAGCTCACCCTGGATGGTCCGAGAGTTAAACTTGTTGCAGGCGACGTTCTCCTCAGGCCCTAGAAATTGAACGAAAATGTTGAAATCATAGCGCATAGCATCGTCTTCAATGTGATGGTAACACTACTTACACAACGCTCCCCGGTAGGGCAGCTGTGTGGAGGCCGTCTTCTCGGCGATCGCATCTAGCAGATGGTCCGGATCCAGGATTCCCGATGGCCGAACCACGTGCAGCAGCTGCTCCAGTGTCATCAGCGAGAATCGCACCTGCGAAACCACTGCATCAACGTTTCCACCCTCCGAGTTGCACTTGCACCAATCGTGCACGGCCTGGAAGATTTGCACTTCCGGAGCGAAGAACGAATCCCTCATCAGCAGGCTGCAGATCGCATCCTGCGAGAGGGTCTTGAACGTCTCATACTGCAGAATGGCTTCCGCATTCCGATCTAAAAAAGCATGACAAACGTTGGTGAGGCCTTCCAGGCCGAACAACTTAGCCGCATCCAGAATGGCGCAAACGTTGTTCAACGACAGGACCTGTCGTAGGTAGTCCGAAATGGCAATCTCCAGATCGGTAAAGCCATACTGATTGGCCAATCCCAACGTGTCCAATATATTTTCCTCCTTCATCTGTGCTAGGGACATGTTTCCCGAGTAGATGTACTTTAGTAGGGCCTTAAAGGCCTTCAACGGTATCTTAAGGTGAATTTCATTCTGGGTTGACTCCGACAAGCCTCCGTAGAGCAGTGCCCGGAAGTATTCGCTTCGGGCAGCCAGGATGACCCGGTGCGCCGGTAGTTTTTCATTCTCGACGATGAACGTCACGTCCGAATAATCGTACGACATGCAGAGCTGGGCCATCTGTTCGCTGAATCGTGCCGTCAGTTCGATCTCTTCCACGGCGGTTTTGACGCTGGAACACGGGGCATGAGGACCGGCCATCTTGTGACTCTGGCTGCTCATCGCTGGTGACGACGATGGCCCGTTGACGCAGCACAGCGAACAACACAGCACATCCAAAGGCCTGGCCGCAGCAATCTCGTCCGATGGTTCAATCAACGCGTCTAAAATCGAAAACCACCGATTAGTTCCCCGAAGAACACTTGTCTAACATTTTGATTGGAAACCAATTCGCAGAACCAATCCTTATCAAACTTATCACCCAGGCTCGCGCGATAACCAAATCGGAAAAACCTTCCCCATGATGGCGGCGTCGTCGTCGCCTTTCTCTTTTTGCATCCCACCCAACAATTGAATCGTCGCCGCCGCCTCCCTGTTCATCGACAGTGGCTCAGCGGCTGATGTCCATAACAAAATTAAACTCAAACCCCAAAAACTTACCCACAATCCTAGCAAATCGGATGGCAAAGTTGGACGACGACGGCGATGACAGATTGGATAACACACAAAACTCCACGACAAGCTTTCCGGAAAAGTTAAAAAATGACCACCCTCCTCCTCGGAAATATGCACCAGATGCAGCAAACTACGACTTCAAAACAATTTGATGACCGCACTGACCGATGATGACTGCATCGCGTTGACTCTTGACTGATGATGATGATGAGTTGAGTTTTGATTTTATGGGTGAGACGTGAGGGGAAACTGAAGCGGGTGATCCAGGGTTGAAGTCCAAAGTGTTCCTTTTGTGGGTTTAATGGAAACGCAAACTCTGACGTTTGGTTCGAGGGGATCGACACCAGGGAACTTGAAATATTGAATCGTTGATCTCATGCTGAGGTTTTTTTGTTTGTTACATAAATCCAATGTGAAGAAGTAAATAATTTGATCTACAGTCGAGATTCGCTGGTTGGGACACCACATCGCCCTAATAAATTCGATTCACCATCTGGGTCAACTGATACATACCAACATTTCTTGAGGGGTACGTGCATAGTTTGTTGGGGTCTGCAAATTTCATGAAAAGCGAATTTAATCACAGTGAATTTGGATTCTTTAGGGGTGTTGAGGTATTTATTATTTCCTTTATATAATCTGCATTGCAAATCGAGTTGCAAATTGAGTTGCAAATCAAGAGGATTTACAATCAGAGACTGTTCCGTTGCGTTTGTCTTGGTTTTCTTGCAAAACATCTTTACATTTTTTAGCATCTGTTCCTCCAGATGCTGCTGCTTTCGTGAATCCCAACCGGTTTTGGATTTCCTTTTCTTCGGATTAGAGGTTTTCAATCCAGATCCAAAATGTTTTTCTATCCCGGCAGGACGGTACGATAGAGGTAACTCTACCAAACTGGTTTGCAGTGGCGCTTCACTACAGCGGTACACCATTCATTGACCCACTGCTATCGCATATGCCGGTGGCCTGCTGTGCTCTTTTGGACGGATTTAACTTACACCGGTTTACTCTAAATTCTCCCTTATAAACGGGTACCATACACAAACGATATCATAGATGGTGCGACCATACCGCATTGAGTTGGGATGATATCCCGAACTGGTGGTTAGGCGCGAGGGGGACGACTCTATCTACGATGCTGGATTGTGTTTTGCTGTGGCTAGCTGCACGCACGCTGAGTAGATAGAAGGAAGATTTATGTCGATTTTGAAGATTTCCTGCAAAAAGATGAAGCACGATGCAAGTAGATGCAAGAAATGAAAGATGATTTTTCGAAGTGTGAGATTTTTTGAGCTTCTAGAATTGAGATTTAGATGTGTCGCCCCCCTCGGTTAGGCGCTTCTTATCCCGACCAACCATTTCGTTAATTTTCTTTAATTTTCTATACATCGATCTTCAAAGCCATTTATTAGAAAAATCGATAGCGATCGTCACCATTTCATGACTAATTGTAAAGAAGCTAAAAGTCTAATCGTGAATCGTTTATAAAAATCTTTCTCAAAATATTGCTACCAATCGTTACCAATGTTAAAATATCGATTGTGTTGCCAGATCAAAATATCGATTTCTGTTGTAAAATCAAAATATCGATACACACAACACAACTACTGCTGATATTATTTGCGATTTTTTTATTTGCATGATTTCTAGTTTCGATCCCATGCCATCTGGGGTGTACTGATTTCGTTGTTGGTTGCTAATCCTCGGGTCCACGGCTGCTGTTGATGAGCTTATCAACGACAGGCAAACACACTCTAGTATGTGGTGTATTGAAATTTCTGTAAATCTTTTCATGCATGAATTCAATATTTATTTGTCATAACCATCAACCAGTCAGCCATGTAGGTGTAATAGAGGTCAAAAAGGTATCAATTTTCCTCATTGGGTTCCAAATGCCGAGAATCCCACCACGCATGCTATCACGGGTCATTAAATATATAGATGTAAACTTGAAGAACTACAATGGTAAACATTTGCTGCGTCGCGGCCATCTGTCTTCTCGTTCATTTACCGGCAGATTGCTTTTTCCGATGAAGTGCCGAATATGTCTATAAATAATATAAACATTGCCATCTGTCACCTGGTGTGTCTCGAACTCTCTTTAACCAGCGATGCAAATCGATAACAAGGAGATTATAAATGTGCATCGATGGCAATCTTTGTTGTTCTTTGTCAAAGTTCAAAGTTATGATGATATCAGTATTTAAATATTTATTGATGAATATTTGTAAAGAATACTAAAGTCCATGTGACATATCGAAATTAAAAGAAATTTAGTATGGTACCTTTATAGATTACTGTCATCATCGAAATTCTAGTACTACGCAATGTTTGTTTTGATTCGCTATGAAAGTTTGACAGATAAAATGAGGGGTTATTGGTTTTTCCTATGTTTCGAGGGGTGAATCGATTAGCTTGGAACCGAAGAGAGTACCAGAGCTGAGCCAAAAAGTTGAGCACGTTATTTCAGGACCTTCTAGTCTTAGAATTACCTCTATGCTGCAACCATAGAGGTAACTCTAAGACTAGAAGCAACAATCAATACGAAACTAACGATTTTAAATTGGCCTTTTTTTTAGTAGCCTATTGGTCCCAAGCAAACGATTAGCGTACCCTATTCTAGTTGAAATTCTATTACTACACTATGTTTGTTTTGATTCGCTATGAAAGTTTGACAGATAACATCAGGGGTGTGTGGATTCATGCAGAACATGCAGGGGTGAGTGAAATAGCTTGGGACTGCTTGGGACCGTTGTTCTGGTACTGAGTGAGCCAAAAATAATAATGATTTTCTTCGGGACCCAGTGGTCTTAAAGTTACCTCTATGGTACCCGAATAGAAATTGTAATGTAGGAAACATCAGCAGACATCTTCAATACATTAAATTTTAATGTGTATTGCTGTACCCTTAATGTATTCAGACTTCAGTGTGACATCCAAGTACATAAAAATACATTAGCCTCAAACGTTACATCAGAATCAAACGTCTTGACGATGTAAAATTTGACATCAGAATACATCCAATGACAACAGAACCAAACGTTACATAAGAATCAAACTTCATCACGATGTAATTTGTTGCACGCATAAAACATCAGAATACATCCAATTACAACAGAACCTAACGTTACATTAGAATCAAACTTCATCACGATGTAATTTGTTGCACGCATAAAACATCAGAATACATCCAATGACAACAGAACCTAACGTTACATTAGAATCAAACTTCATCACGATGTAAATTGTTGTCCTTCGGTCCCTCGTCGCATGCAAAGTTTGTTTTGTCCTGAGTCAGCACTACACGGCGAATGAGAACACCCAAATTTGAGTTTAGTTCACTCATAAATCGCAAAAAGTACAGGAACTCAGTTTTGAGTTAATTTACCTCTGTTTTTCCAGGTTTTCCAGGTTTTTCCAGTAAAATTTTTCCGAATATAAGAAAAGTAAAGATTGGATTCTGTGGATTTTGTCAATCCTAATTTTCCGGAAGATTTTTGAAGTTTTCCACCGGAAAACATGAGGCAAATCTCGAGGCAAATTTACTCATCGCTGCGTTCCTGCATTTTTTGCGATTTTGAGTACACTGTATTCAAATTTGGGTTGATCACATTGGCCGTGTACAGTTTTTTTTTCGCGGTGTCCGTCGCGAGTTTTGGTGGCGATTCGGTGTCCGGCGTTGCGGCAAATCCTTTGGTTTGTTTTTTCCGTCGATCTTGTTTTCCGTGCTGAGCACCAATGCTACCGACGTGCCAGGAAGGCAGCTCCCACACCTGGACCCCCGCCAGTTTCGAAGATTGCGAGTCCCGCGATCGCCCTTGGAAAAGGAAGGCTGTTTTTCAGGTAAGTAAAATTTAAAATTTTAAATTAATGTACTGTAATTATGTTTTTTTTTAGGAAAGTGCACCAGTGCGAAGCCGGATCCCGGTAGGGAGTCCGAAGCTGGATCCCGGCGGGGAATTCGAAGCCGGATCTCTTTGCAGGTTAGTGAATGTGTTTATTGTTTTTTTTTTTTTATTTGATTGACAAATAAATAAATAGGGGGAAGAGGGGCATAGTGAGCATCCCGCAGTTTGGCTTTGGATCTCCAGCTGCATGAAACAAATCAACTGGTAGTAGGTTCAATATCATTATGATATTGATCCTACCACCAACAATTTTTTTTTTTCCGAACAGCCGGAAGTTCAAGCTGGATGCTCACTATGCCCCACCTGTTCACTATGCCCCTCTTACCCCTACTAAAAGCTAAAATAAAGTGGAAAATGACGGGTTCCGTAGGCGGATCCCGATGACGGGTTCCGTAGACGGATCCCGATGACGGGTTCCGTAGACGGATCCCGATGACGGGTTCCATCGACAGATCCCGATGGGGAAACCGAATACGGGTCCCGATGGGGATTCCGTAGACGGATCCCGATGGGGATTTCGTAGACGGATTCCGATGGGGAAACCGAATACGAATCCCGATGGGGAAACCGAATACGGATCCCGATGGGGAAACCGAATACGCATCCCGATGGGGATTCCGTAGACGGATCCCGATGGGGATTTCGTAGACGGATCCCGATGGGGAAACCGAATACGGATCCCGATGGGCAAACCGAGTACGGGTCCCAATGGGGAAACCGAATACGGATCCCGATGGGGAAACCGAGTACGGGTCCCAATGGGGAAACCGAATACGGATCCCGATGGGGAAACCGAATACGGATCCCGATGGGCAAACCGAATACGGATCCCGATGGGGAAACCGAGTACGGGTCCCAATGGCGAAACCGAATACGGATCCCGATGGGCAAACCGAATACGGAGCCCGATGGGGAAACCGAATACGGATACCGATGGGCAAACCGAATACGGATCCCGATGGGGAAACCGAGTACGGGTCCCAATGGCGAAACCGACGGATCCCGATGGGGAAACCGAATACGCATCCCAATAGGGATTCCGTAGACGGATCCCGATGGGGAAATCGAATACGGATCCCGATGGGGAAACCGAATACGGATCCCGATGGGGATTCCGTAGACGGATCCCGATGGGGATTCCGTAGACGGATCCCGATGGGGATTTCGTAGACGGATTCCGATGGGGAAACCGAATACGAATCCCGATGGGGAAACCGAATACGAATCCCGATGGGGAAACCGAATACGGATCCCGATGGGGAAACCGAATAC